GGTTGTATTCACCGTTCTCGGGGGGTCAAAGTAAGACTAACAGTATCCCTTTATACATGGTGTAAACGTTATGATAGTCATTATTTAAATGCGTGATAGAGGAGGTTAAAAGGAGGAAAAAGTTTCATATAAGATGGGGGTCAAATCGGCATTTTTTTAGAGAAAAGCGACTTTAAAGTAAAATAAAATCTGACAACGCCGCAATGCCAGACCTGTATTACGACGAAATGTAGTGTAAATAAAGATGGAGTTTGTTATTTTTGGCTCTTAGGTATCATTTCATTATCTGATAATGTACTCGTAAAATGCAAACAATTAAAGAAAAAACGGATACATACATTGTTTTTCTTTTTAAGGCCCACACTGCACTTTTTTGTATTTAAAGAAGGCGTTCAAAATGTCGTCCTTTACTTTCCATACAAGCTTCCTTACGACGAACCCAGTTTCTTCTTACTCTAGGTCCATTTATTATTTCAGCCGCATTAAAATTTTTATGAGTGCCCTTCAGTCATATTTGTCAGAGTGACAACTTGCTATACTTGGCATCAGCGTTCAATTCTTGTCGTCTTGTGATCTTCAATATAAAATTTTACAATGTCCGGAAAGACGATCAATGGAGAAGGCCGACAGCTTGTGCCAAATTTGTTAGAGTATTTCCAGGAAGAGAATCGAAACAGCGGTCCCCTGCTACTCACTTCATGCATACTGGAGAGAGTAGCAGATGCGGTACAGATTAGGCTGCGCCCATGGTACGGAGACTCGAGTTGTTTACTTATTTCCTATGGCGTTGATGGCGTAACCGCCAAGAACGTTGGCTACAACTATATCATTATTACTATTATTTCTAAATTCATGTGACCACCATAAATATTGCATGTCGATAATCCCAAGCACTAGGTCCTTCAGTTGCTTACACCAGGAACCCTATTCTTGAAAACGAGATAGCAGAATCACTGAGAGAAAGGGGGCTGAAGGATGATTCCAAATTCTGACAGCTGTCGAAATTTGTTAAATAAAGTTGTGAATGCAACCGTTTTCGGCAAAATAATGTATAAATGAGATATTAAAGTCGTTAAGCATTCAGGAATATTGATGATAAAGTTCAATTTTTCAGTAGGAAGTTAATTGACATCTTCAATCGTCACTCTCCTATAAGGACGGTACGCGTGAGTAAGCCGAAAGCGCCGTGGTTGTCATATCCGTTGAGACAGCTTCTGAAGCAAAAAACGAGAGCATATCATTTATACAAGATAGACAGAAGTCCAGCAAGATTGCAGGTTTTTAGGGAACTTAGAAACCTTGCACTATCGTGCATTAGACATGAAAAAATGGCGTATCTTGCTCACTTGGTAAAAGGGCGTGATCAGAAAAAATTGTGGTATGAATTGAAAAATATGAAAGCACAAACATCTGATAAGCCACGTATTCCAAACCATCTTGCAGACTCGTTCCTTGCAAATAATTATTTCATATCAGTTTTTGATTCCACAAATGCTCCTGATCACGTTTTAAGGTATTATAACGAAACTGTTCCCCATATTAATAAATTTTCTTTCAGGCTTCTAGAGCCTCATGAAGTAGCTGAAATAATATCTAGTTTTAAGTCCGATGCAAAAGGTACTGATGGGTTGAGCTTGTCTATGATTAAGCTCAGTCTGCCTGTTACTCTCATCTACATCACCCACCTTGTTAATAGTTGCCTTGAAAGAGGTTATTTCCCTGAAACGTGGAAGCGAGCAATTGTGGTAGCAGTTCCAAAAAAATCAAATCCAGATGAGTTTGCTGATCTAAGGCCTATAAGCCTGTTGCCTTGTTTATCGAAGGTAGTTGAAAAGGCAGCCCACATACAACTAATGCATTATGCAGAGGAACATATCATCCCATCTGATCAGTCTGCTTTTAGGAAATCTTTCAGTACTACTACTTCCCTCTTAAACTTAGTGGATAATATTATTAGAGCACTTGATAAAAAAATGGGCGTAGCAGTGATGTCAATCGATTATTCCAAGGCATTTGACAAAATAAATCATGAGTTGTTAATAGCAAAGTTGAAGTATTATGGCATAGATCCAATTGCATTGAATTTTTTTCGAAATTATATATCAAATCGATCGCAGTGTGTATCAGTTGAAAACAATAAATCTAGTTTTCTAGAAATCTCGTCTTTAGTACCCCAGGGGTCTGTTTTGAGTCCCTTGTTGTTTTTGATATATATTGCTGATCTGCCTAAGGCTGTGAGTTTTTGTGAACTCCAGTCTTTTGCGGATGATACTCAACCGGTCCATTATTTTGATACTGATGATATGGAAATGGCACAGACATCAATAAACCATGATATTCAAAAAGTGTATGACTTCTCGAATAACCACAACCTGTCAATAAATCCTGGTAAATCCAGCCTGTTATTTTTTTGTTCGGATTGTAGGAGAGAAGAAATTAAAAGTCGATTAACTATTAAAATTGGATCTCAAAGACTGTACCCGGTTGACGAGGTTAAAATTCTTGGCGATTTCAAACTTAGATTCACCAGTAATGTTAAAAATCTTTTGAAGAAAACCTACTTGAGACTGAGATCATTATATGCCAATAAAGCAATTTTCAATTATAAGCTAAGGAAAAAACTGTGTTCATCTTTGGTTATGCCGATTTTCAACTACTGTGATATTTTATATTATCCGTGTCTCAATGTTTTTACTAGAAATCGGATTCAAATTGTGCAAAACAATTGTGCTAGGTTCATCTGCGGTTTAAGGCGCTTTGACCATGTTTCTGGTAGTCTTATTGAATTAAACTGGATGATAACAAAAAATATTGTCAAATATCATTACCTTGTTTTTATTCATAAACTAATACTTATGTCAAAACCTATATACTTAAGAGAAAAGCTGATCTTTAGGCGAAATATTCATCATAGACATATTAGATTTCCAGATTTGATAACTACACCTATTCACTCCACAACTTTATTCCAGCGTTCTTTCACGTACAGGGCTTCAGTGTTATACAATGCCTTGAGTCCTGAATTCAAAACCATGTCCTTAAATTGCTTCAAGAAAGCTGTCAAATCTCATATTTACTTGGATCCATAGTCTTAATTAGATTGCTATAGATATATTGTTAAATGATTCTTCACTTCCCTTGTGTACATGTAGCAAACCTTGGTGCAACATGTACGTATGTAATGTGTGTATATGTATGTATGTATGTACATGTGTATGTATATATGTATATTTTGTTTGATATCTGCTACTGAACAACTTGTTTTTTTTTGCATGGGTGGTTAAATGTAAGAGTAGCATGTTGCTAAACTTCGCCACCATATGCAACTCTTGTTTCTGTATGAAGTACAGTTTAAATAAAGACGATTATTATTATTATTATTATTATTATTATTATTATTATTATTATTATTATTATTATTATTATTATTCCAATGCAAGATTAACTCCGTCTCTGGAAATGAGACGGTGAGACTTCTGGATCTTTCTTACCGAAAATGACTTGGAAAGAGACTCTTCTAGCAGTATTCAGATGTGTAGTGCCCTGAAAAGTAAGAGAAACACCCCCATTTCCTCTCTGTGATTCTATTACCTCATTTCCACAATTCAGCTCCAGTTATTTCTAGATATAATATTATCTAAATTGTCATTATTCATTCTATTGTTTTGTGGCTTAATCTTTGTAGTTTCACATTTTTATTTTGTTTTTGTATAACTTTTTTGCCACTTAAAAATAATAAAGAAGATTATTATTATACAGGGTGGCGCATCGAAAACGAAACAGACGCATTTACTGGCAGGTCAGTGTTTTTTTTTTAGAAAAATGCTCAGACCCGTCGATTTTGTTTTCGAGGGGGACACAAATTTGGCAAAAAATCACGTTAACACGTGCAGCCCCCTGGGCGGGGGTGAAACCAACCCTAAAATCTTAAATGGAAAGCGGGGTCGAGTGGTACCTTATTTTAAAGGTCTTTCAATTCCCTTTATAATGATGTAAAATACATGGTGCCCCACCACATTACGCATTACGTGTTCGACAATATTTAGATCAGACGTTTCCAGATCGATGGATTGGTAGAAGAGGTGCCATTAACTGGCCCCCAAGATCGCCAGATTTATCACCTTTGGATTTCTTTATGTGGAGTCATTTAAAAAGCAAAATCTATGCTACTCAGCCAACATCATTAGAACACCTGCGACAAAGAATTGTGAATGAGTGCCTTCAAATTACTCCTCAAATATTGCAAAATGTGCGGCAACGTTTTGAGCAAAATTTTTATTATTGCATGGAGAGTCATGGTGGCCATTTTCAACATTTACTTGCCTAACGGGTCAGTGCATTCTTCATTTTTAATTTACTTTGCTGCCAAATGTATTGATCTCCACTAATGATGATGTATTAGTTTTATTTAAGCTTTAAATCAATAAATCTTCAAAACTACTGAACTGAAGCTCACGTATTTTACATCACTATAAAGGGAATTGAAAGACCCTTAAAATAAGGTATCACTCGACCCCCTTTCCATTTAAGATTTTGGGGGTGGTGTCACCCCCGATTAGGAGGCTGCACGTGTTATCATGATTTTTTTCCAAACTTGTGTCCCCCTCGAAAACAAAATCGACGGGTCTAAGCATTTTTCGAAAAAAAAACTGAGCTGCCAGTAAATGCGTCTGTTTCGTTATCGATGCGCCACCCTGTATATTATTATTATTATTACATCGAAGCTATACTGAAGTCCCAAACACTGAGTCTTGAGAACGAAAAGTCGTCTGACGGGCCTTAGTTCAAATTTACCTCGAGGTGTGGCAACATATTGAAGTAGTACAAAAACCTATTCGAGCTGCCGAATTGACTGATTTGTTCATTAATTGACAGAACCTAAATCCTCGCAAATGCCCACATAACGGTTGCGGTACTGAGGTTTAGTATTTTCGTATGATTTTCGAACAACTTTTTGACAAGCGCGTTAATGTTATTCTAGTTATACAGAATAAACTTACCTTCGCAGTGAAACCCATCTCCAACATATCCAGGAAAGCAGGTGCAGTGAAAACTACCCAAAGTGTTGGTACAGTGAGCAAACACGTCGCATGGTCGATATTTACATTCGTTTTCATCTGAAAATGAAAATAAAAGCATTCATTATTAGGCGTAATGGAAAGAGTTTATTTTTATTCCGCTTTCGCAAGTCAAAGTTATATCATGGTAACTCCAAAACGAAAATCTGAGTTTGATCCAAAGGAGATTGGGCTGTATTGATTATTACTAACGGAATCATTAGTGACACCTCCGAAGTAACAATTGCACTGATAAACACAGGATTTGTGAAACGGCAATTTTTGGGTGTATCCTGTGTATTTTGAGACCACATATATAATGTTATGACCTGTCTATTCCTGTATGTTTAGAGAACATATCGCGTTCATTAGTAGACGCATAGCAGCTGAGTCAGTTACGTTTTCTGTGTTAAAGAGTATCGAGATGTTCTGAGTATTGTTAATTTTTGTTAAAAAGCTTCATGGACAATGCCTAGAAATTGCGTAAATAGTGCGAACAGTTCTGATTATGTGTGCGGGGAGCTAACTTTTAAATCCCAAAAATGTACTCCCCTTGTGTTGAAAGCATACGAACTTTATTTTGGAATCAAAGTTGGCGACCAAGATAGACTATGGGCCCCTCACATATGTTGTAAGAGTTGTGTAACGTTGTTGACAGGTTGGTTAAAAGGCGACAATCGTAAAATGCCCTTTGCCGTACCAATGGTTTGGAGAGAACCGAGAGACCATACTACTGATTGCTATTTTTGCCTCACCAATATATGTATGTATTGGACCAAAATCGAAACATACTGTTAAGTATTTTAATTTACTATCAGCTTTGCGGCCCGTTAAACATAGTGATGAGCTTTCTGTCCCAGTTTCACGAGAATCTTGGTCTTTGGATGAAAAAGTCGAATCCAACGATTCTGAAAGTGATGGTACAGAAAGCGTAGAAATTTCCGATCGTTCGTTTGACCTGCCAGGATGTTCAACAGCGCCGCATTTGATCACACAAAATTCCAGTCAGAACTAGCGTCAAGATTAAAAGGATAGCATCTTCTCCACGGCGATGTTAACATTACTTTTTACCGAAAACAGTAACAAGACCTCACACACTGTTTCCGTCAAGAAAGGGAGTTGATATATTGCTCCGATGTCAACAATTTGTTTGACGCGTTAGGACAGAAACATGATCCAAATGCTGTGCGCCTGTTCATTGATTCCTCTAAGTTTAGTTTAAAAGCGGTATTGGTACACAATGGTAATAAACATCCATCTGTACCTATAGCGTACGCGGTTCATATGAAGGAATCATATGAAAATATGCGAGTTCTGTTAGAGCATATCCGTTATAATGAATATGGATGAGCTATATGTGCAGATTTAGAGGTAATAGCCCTTCTTGGAAGGCAACTGGGATATACCAAATATATAAGTTTTTCCTGGCCTTATTCGTAGTCGGATTTTAAAACAAATTGCACATTGACATTGCCACTTTTTGTTCTATACAAGATGGTATAATTAGAATTACATTATGACGTTTCGTCTCTTATCCTCCAGCGTCAACTTTTTTTAATGCCGTCATATGCGGTTTTTGCAGAGGTAGATAGAGTTTTTAATTATGATTCAAAAAATGTCTAACAAGTCATACATTGACATTGACAAACCTTATATGTTATAATTAAGAAAAATATTATGCCAGATTTATCGCAAAATGATTTTTATTTTTTCCTGATTCTATTTGAGATAGGATTTCAGAATAATGTGCATTTTATCATTGCCACTTTTCTCATCTACAAGACAACATAGTAAAATTTTCAATTCGCGGTTTCTTCTTTCGACATATGGAAGCTTTTCTTGAGTTGGCGGTCCTGGGCTCCATTTCTTTTGAACGTATAATTGCCCAATTGGCCAAAAAAAAACATATTCCCATAACTTTCTTGCGACGTCCACGTAGGCGCTACTGCCTTCGCTGTCTGAAATCTGAACATGAAAGGTTCTCCCGCCATTGACCCCATTCGTAATCTGTAAACTCTGTTGTTCAATCCGGGGCAGCACGTTTCTAAATCATCACTTCTTATCTCCCACCTTCCCGTTGATGTTTTAATGCAAGGACTTTGAGCTGAAATACGAGGCGTAATTGCAGTTCGCTTTGAGGTATGCCTGAAAGTTTCGCGTAAAAATGGAGACACCGTTGCTTTTGTTTGATTTTGTTTCGTGGGGCTCCGGGGCACGGCAGTACCGGAGACTTTAGATCGGTCGAGAAACATCTGTGGGTCATATATTGAATTTTTGTGAGTTTGAAAGAGACATTGCTTATGGTGATTTTTTGAGAGGTATAGGATTTGATTTTCAAAAAAAACACAAAAAATTTGAAAAAATGTTGAAGAAATGTTGGCCGCGGCTCCGCTTTAGATGGCCCATGCGCAAGGTCCAATTTTGGCACACTCTCTCCAACATATCGGCCGGTACCTCACGAATAAATGCTTCAATATTGGCTTCCAGTGCGTCAATCGCTGCTGGTTCATCCCTGTAGACATTAGCCTTAACATGGCCCCACAAGAAATAGTCCAACGGCGTTAAATCACACGATCTAGGCGGCCAATTGACGGACCCAAACGTGAGATAAACTGTTCACCGAACTCGTCTCTCAATAGGGCCATTGTTTCGTGTGCGGTGTGGCATGTGGCACCGTCTTGTTGAAACCACATGTCAGCCAAGTCCAGCTCTTCCATTTTGGGCAAAAAAAGTTTATTATCATCGCACGGTAGCGCTCGCCATTCACAGTTACGTTCCGGCCATTGTCGTCTTTGAAGAAGTAGTTCGCGATGATGCCACCGGCCCATAATCCACACCAAACAGTGATTTTTTCGGGATGCATTGGTAGCTCTTGCAATGCTTCTGGCTGGTCTTCACTCCAGATTCGGCAATTTTGCTTGTTAACGTACCCATTCATCCAGAAATGAGCTTCGTTGCTGAACACAATTTTTCGATAAAAGTGTGGATCTTCCTTCAACTTTGCCAGCGCCTATTCACCAAATGGGAAACGTTGTGGGACGTCGTGTGGGTTCAATTCTTGCACCAGCTGTATCTTATAAGGTGTTACACCCAAATCCTGTCTCAAAATTTTCCACGTAGCGGAGTAACAGGGGCCCAATTGCTGCGAACGGCGGCGAATCGACATTTCACGGTCATCACTAACACTGGCGGATACAGCCGCAATATTTTCTTCAGTCCTCACTCTACGTCTGGGTTCGAAATTTAGTCACAAGCTTCCGAATAGCTCCCTCAGTAGGCCGACCAAATTGCCCATAAATTGGAAGCAGTGCTCGATGCACTCTCTTAACCGTGCATGAATTTTGATAGTAAAATTCAATAATTTGCAAGCGTTGTTCGTTCGTAAGTCGATTCATGGTTAAATTACAGACCAAACTGAACAAGTTTGACAATGACACAAGACACGATTCACGCGTCATCTGTCAAAAACAGTGTTGCCAAAAAGATACTAGCAAAAAAATCACTATATAGGAATACAAAAAACATGCTAGCAGGATAGATATGTTTCAGGCAGCTTTGATTAATTTATCACTACAGTTCCAGTAGTGGATGTGATAAAAGTATACATTCATAATCTTTTGAGAGTACTTGCTGAGAAACGGTGCGGTATTTTCCTAGTTATAAGGGTGCAAAGGAATAGTGGATATACAGACCGACGGATAGTTAAACGGAAATGAGTGACATGGCCTATTGCGACAAATATTAATTTTTTTGTATGACCGTTTGAAAAAAGTTTCATATTGAAGTTGTAGGGTCTATCACTTCAAAATCGCCTTCTTATTGATCTTTATAAAGTTGCATCGCTAATTCTCTATTAAGGCCTAACATCAACCACTTTCATCAGTTGTTGTGAAAGATGTCATAGTCAAAAGAGCAGTGTGAGATCCTACTAAACGAGTATGAGAAATATGATGCTGTAAAAAGCAAGGCCTATAAAAGCAACTAAACCTATAAAACTAGTGTATCCTCTACTAAAGGTTCTTTAATCGGCATTTGGAGCACACCCATTCCCGGTCCCTCCATTTTCATGAGGTGGTCAGCTACAACTGATATCGCTGGACATCGCTACATTTTTTATAATTTTTCATTTGTTCAAAGTAATAAGGTAGCAAGCAGCAACGAAAAGTGTGGTTTGACGTGATAAATTGCAGTTCGACCTTGACAGTTACAGTTTTTTTTTCTACCGACTGCGCATGATTTCGTATGAAATTCATTACAAAAATTTCTTTACATGACAAACAGAATTGCATGGTAACCAAGTAAGTTCGTGCGGTTTTTATTAGAAAAATATAATTTTTTATTGAGAAATAAAGGACACTATTTATTCGTCGATGTAATTACCATCACATTCAATGACCTTTTGCTAACGTGGAACCAATTTTTGTATGCCGGTATTGCAGAACTCCGTGGATTTGGAGTAAAAAAAATTGGCGGACTGCATTTATTACACCATTTCGAGTTGTGAACTGTCGGTGTCAAGAGACAAAAAAAGATGATAATCACTGGGCAAAATGTCGGGAGACTATGGCGGATGCGGTAACGTTTCCCAGTGTGTGAGAAAAGAAGGATTCATGATAAAGTGAGAATAGGTAACAAATAATCGCTATCGAAGAACAACATCCATGGCAATGTGCGATAAACAGCAACCGCCTGATAACACTGATCAACAGCCAAAAAATATCCTAAATAAAATCAACAAAATATTGCTATTTTTAATGTGCTAAAACCGGAATGAAACTTATTTTTTCAATATTAGTTCAAGTTTTAGAGATACGGTAATTATATGTGTTCCTGCTGTGACAGTGTTAATATACTGTAATTCACAAGAATGCACGTGCTACATTTTTATATTCGGCAAGGAAAGATGATGTAATCGGCATGATTGTGTTACGTTATACATACGTGTACATTATATTGTTTTATATTAGCCATTTTTCCTCAGTTGGCTGACAGCGTTCATGCAAGATGTCTCAAAAGTGTGTAAACAATCCAGATCAGTTTTGTTACGTGTGTAGTGATGT